GAAAGCAGAAAAAGGACCAACTCAGCTAGATTTGTTTTCCAGATTTTAGAATCCATTAATCCCACATCGTTTGCTGACATGAACAGGTATTTCTGGCCGAAATATCTGTAAATGGTGTACACTGTCCAGTGCGCAGACAACGCATATTGCATGAAAGCGTGAACTATGACTTGTCTGCTGGTCTTCACGCTTGCAAACCTCAGCTCTGCTCATCTTGCATGTTAAACTTTGGCAGTTTTGTTTCGAAACCTTCAACCATAAGCAAAATGAGTAGACTTGTAAAATTCTACTATCATCACCCAGGTAAGTATGAGTTTAGTCTCATAAAGAGTAAATAGCCAAATAAGCAAAAAAAACCCATACATAACTGTAGAAGAGAGGGATTAAGATATTAAATGGTGAAAAACAGCAATTCGTTAGAAGGAATAACTCATATGATTTGTCTGTACCTGTAAAGTATAATGACTAATGATCAGAAGACACTGTATTTTCTAATAAATAGAGGCACAGCTGTAGTAATTATGTAGTATTTCATATAGCAATATTCAACTAAGGCAGAGAAAGAGAAAGGAGGCAGCCAGAATTCCTTATACCAGCTGTCCTCATATATTCAGTGTCTGCATTTGTGGAACATGTTTGAAGGTTTGCGATTTTATGTTCCTCCTATTAAGAATTCTGAACTTTATGCTGATGAGATGGAATAACCATAATTACTGGAATATTTATATGTTATATGAAGTATATGTTAAATAATATTGTATATAGATAATATATATGTTACACAGTAGTTGCCTGCGTTGTTAATCTGGTTATAGGTTCCCTTGGTTCCCACTGCTGTGAATTTAGATCTCTAGTAAGGTAACAGCCTCAAGAAGCTTCTGAAAAACGCAGAGATTTGGGTTTCCGAACAGGAAAGATTTCTTATAATCAGAGCAAGGAGGCTTGGAAGCAGAAGGAGGAGAGTTAGATACTTGATCCTCCCGTGAAGTATAGAAAATAGGAAGAAAACGAAGCCCACAAGTCTCTCCTCTCTGACACATGACAATCATTCTCTACGCTTCTACTCGTGAGTGCTCCGCCAGAGTAAGAAACGGGCCCCTAATAACAAAAGAACAACTGAAACTCCATTCAAGATCTCCCATCTCTCACCTGCTGCAGCTCAGAGGCAAGAGGCCAAAGTAAAAAGAAAGCAGAGGAGGAGGAGGAGGAAAAGCAGCAGAGATGGGCAATGGGTGTCGGCTCCACACCTTCCAAAACTTTCCAACCTGGGGATGTGCACATATACCTGATCCCCGCCCCCAAACCCCCCCCCCCCCCCCCCCCGGCAGCTTCCTAAAAAGATGGCTAACATGCTGCTGAGCCTAGAGGGGAGTGCGGAGAATAGGTATTTCTGGGGACAGGTATATTTGATAACGGCACTACACAAAGCACCGAGAATCGTCTTTGGGAACTGTGAAAGGGGACCTTCAAAGTGCATACCAAATGCGTTCCCAGGGGAGCTCAGTCCCATCCCTTCTGTAGGACTTGTGCAAACTCCGATGATGGTTTTTTCTGTCACTCTTCTGGCAACGTATGAGAGGCTAACAGGGGAAGATCTAGTAGATGGCACTTTTAAGAGGTAGATGATACCAAGCACTCTATCCTCAGTGCATCCAAGCCTATCGATACTTTTGGGCAAATTACTAAAGCCTAGCAGGCCACAACTGCACTTGGAAGCTGTACCTTTCCAATTTTTTTTTTTTTTTTTTGTCTATAAGGAAGGAGGACAGAAGTTCTTGTTTAGTAAATTAGCAGGTACTTTTACAAACCGATTTCTTATTTGTATGTGTAATACTACTGTGCGTCTAGAATGGTAGTTAACTTTTTTGCAAGAATGACTCCTTTTGGGATTCATGAATTCTTTTCAGATGTCTTGCCTCTACTGAGTCATAATTATTGGCTTGGGTTCTTGTACTAGCCAGGGGACTGTTAACTACCTTTAATTGCTGACAGTGGCTCAGCTTCTTCAAGGCAAGGGTGAAACAGGCTGTAACTACCGAGGTGGTGCCAACAATTTAGAATAGGTGTTCCCAGGCTAGTGCTGCCATTACACAACTCCCTCTTGATGCCACCATAAACCAGAGCACGCAGGTACAGAAACACTGGCTTGGAGCGTTGCCTAGACGCTGTAGTACTCATCATTATTTACATACTTAAGATCTCAGGTTTTCAAGGTTCGCATCAGCAAGCACAGCAACCCATGGAAACAGAAAGCGCGGGGAAGAAAAGAATGGAGAACTTACAGGTATCTTCCAAAAACGAGCAACTGCCCTCTGAAATCTGCCCAGAGGAGTGGGGCAGGGTCAGTTCAAAATGGGCTTAGTCTATGCTATGGAAGATCAGCTCCGCTCCTGAGAAGTTATTTCGGTGCTTGGCTCCCACTGGAGGGATCGGTAAGTAGCTGCCTGTGCTCCCCTGAAAACCCCGCGCTGGGCGCTCAGGCACCAAGTTGATGACAGCAGCAGAAATACTTCTACGGGGTTAAGATGCCGCGGTCCTTAGTCAGGCCGTCGCTCCCTCTCCTACCAGAAGCAGCAGAACATCAGTGCCTCAATAAACAACGACTGTACCAGCAAGTCTGAGCGTTTAGAAACGATGAGTCAGTCTCCCCTAAATTAGGGGATTGCCAGTGACGTTTTTAAAAAAAAAAAATATACGAGAGGCAGAAAGCGCGCGTTGTTTTGCTTCGCTGGAGCCGGGGCAGGTT